CGTTCAAAACCTGCAAGATGAGATAACGCCCACCGTTATTCAAACAAGCCTACAGCAGTTAGAGGAAGCAGTGGCAGCGTAAGAAAACATGACCACAAAGATTCAACACGCACTAGATGAACTCGCTACCATGTTCGAAAAGTCACACCCAACGTCACTGAATATTGAAGAAGAGTTCACACAGTACTCAACTACTGCTGAAGAAGCCATTGGCAATACTTTCGAATACCTTGTACTCCTTCACGCTCGGATCCATGGCTTCAAGGCTCATGCTGAACTTCTCAACACATCCCANTAACTACTTGGTATTCCTATATAATCGAGCCGTCCCACCATAATTTCTGGTGCATTGGCCGCTTGAAAGGATCCATCAGGTCAAGGAAGTTACAACCAAGTACGTTAATTCTTCAATCATGTCCAACCTATCACTGGCAAGTCACAAACGGATACTCACGCGGTATACTAACCAATTGCAAAAAGTTCTAACCCGATTCAAAGACGCGCAGTTAGAAGAAATCAGCGTTCAAAACCTGCAAGATGAGATAACGCCCACCGTTATTCAAACAAGCCTACAGCAGTTAGAGGAAGCAGTGGCAGCGTTAGAAAACATGACCACTAAGATTCAACACGCACTAGATGAACTCGCTACCATGTTCGAAAAGTCACACCCAACGTCAGCGAATATTGAAGAAGAGTTCGCACAGTACTCAACTACTGCTGAAGAAGCCATTGGCAATACTTTCGAATACCTTGTACTCCTTCATGCTCGGATCCATGGCTTCAAGGCTCATGCTGAGCTTCTCAACACATCCCACAAACACTCCACTACGAATAGTAGTAAAGATGAATCCACCGTCACCGCAGTCGTGAAAAATCTGGAGCTACCCACAATCCCAATCCCAACATTCAATGGCGACATCTGGGACTGGGATAACTTTTGGGAGCTTTTCAACTTAAACGTACATTCACAAAACCTTTCAGAGCTACAAAAATTCAATTACCTACTTAACTCC